AATTGCCCTCAGGATAAAGATGGTTAGCTTGATTGCCCATGACCCCAAATACCATTGTGCATGTGCCTTTCAAATGTGCCATCATGAATAAACTTAGAAATATTTTATAAACTATCTCTTCTGTTAATTATGTTTTGATGAATTAAAAGTAACTTTCCCAACACACACACACACACACACACGAGGGTGGGGGGAGATGAAAGGAGGTGAAAGGAGAAAGTGACAGAAAATGGAGGGAGGGAAGGAAGAGGAAAGGAGGGACAGGAGACAGAGAGAGAGAGAGAGAGAGAGAGAGAGAGAGAGAGATCTTCCCCATACTGTACAGTAACATGACCATCCCAGGACCATATTTCTGATTTGTAAATTAAACATTTGACCAGCAGGGCAGAATGAGCTGAGTCTCAGTGGCATTACCAGTACCAAGAATAGAACCTGGTCCCTGAATGGCATCCAGGAGATGAAGCATGGGGAATGGCTTTTTGAAATTGGAGACAGAATAAGCTCTACATGGAGAGCTAAGTCTAGACTAAGAACAATACCAAATCAAGAATCAATCACCAAATCAGCCACAAAGAAAACAGGCAAAGGGGGGAGTGGACAGGTGGTGAGAATTCTGCCTCTTCCCACTCAGGCGTGTTCTGTTGCCCTTTGATACCTTCTATTTTGGTGGTTTTCTAGGGGAGGAAATTCATAACAGGTTTTCAATGGTTCTTCAGAAGTAGTCTCAGGTTAACAGTTGCCTTATTAACCTTAGTAAAAACTGAAGTTGGATCAGCTATACTTTGAGTTCGTCTTTTGTGAATGGAGCTCGTGACTCTGAATGTGCCCCGTGCCTGCCTTCCACACCAGAAGCCTGCCCATGACAGAGGACTGGAGAAGCTAATCTGAGTCTTACCGACAGGTAGTTTTGTCCCCTAGGGAGTAAGGGCAATGAGCAGCTGCTCTTCTTGACATTAACCACACTGGAGGAGACTCTTCGGCTTGCCTCGTTGTGACTTTTTTCACAAAGGTGGGACACACAGCGCACAGCAGCATTGCCATGGCTCTCAGGTCATGCAACCTCAAAGGGTCTTGTAGGATATTCTGTGCTTCTGCATATTCTATTCGCTACCCTGAAGTCAGCTGAGCAGTAGAGTCGGGATTACCGTGGAGTACCAGATCTGGGTTTGTATACTTTCCTGGCACTCATTCCCCACACTGCTCACAGACTCGAAGACTTAAATGGCCTTTGTGATGAGCACGTTCCACTCAACAACCTTTGCAATTCATTGGTTGTCTCCTTACACAGGGACTCAAGACCCTCCAGGTGGGGATATAGATGCAGTTTAGTGACACATTCTCTAGGATGTACCAGATCCAGGCTTAGACACCCAGCACTGAACAACAGACAAGGCAAAGCCTCCTAGAAGACCCCACCCTTCTTTCTCCATGTCTCTTGGTTCCCTCTCTCTCTGCTCGCCTACCACCACCACCAGCACTTCCCCTACTCTCGGCCTTGGCTTGATGCTTCTCCCTCTGTCTGCAGTGTCCCTTACACACACAGCTTCACTGAGCAGCAAATGATCTCCTTTATTAGAGAAAATTGCAGTTATGCATGGAACTAGAGAGAATTATATAGCAGACCACATATTTCATCGACCAATTTCATGAATTCTCAATTCATCATCAGCGTTATGTCAGTACTCACTCCTTCTACATAGAACATTTTAAAAGCAGTCCCAGGCATTTAGCTATTAATAATATCTATTAGTAGACTTCATCTTGGGGCTAGAGAGATGCCTCAGAGGTTTTTACTGTTCTTACAGAAGATCCAGGTTCAGCGCTCAACACCTGAGTCAGCCAGCTTGTATCTTCCTGCAACTCCAGCACGAGGAGATCTGGCTTCTTCTTCTGGCCTCAGGGAACACCTGAATACTCATTCAGATGCCTATACACATATACACAAATAATAAATCTTTCGTAAATTCATGGGACCTGAATTCATATTTTATATTTCTCTTCTTTAAAAAAATCATACCTGTGTTCAATGCATATTTGATAATTTCATAATTATATACCATGTGTTTTGTTCAGATTCAGCTCCATGACTCTCTCTTGCTTCCATCCCTCCTTTTCTCCCTTCCTCCCTCATTTATTGGACCCCTTTTTCTTTCTAGCTAGTCTTACTCTTACTTCCATGTCTTATTCTAGGAGCAGGAGAGGTGGTTTTCCTTAGGGAAGAGCACACCAATTGGTTGTCTAGTGACAAACAGTCATCCTGAAAGTGTCCGTACGTGATACATTGTATGGCCAGAGCAGGTTATATTCATATTATATATAGTATATTATATAATTTTATATAAATATTATTTATGCAATAAAATGCATATAAAATTATTTCTATAAATATATTTATATAGATATAACATATTTATATTATGCATGCCATAATAACTAACAAAAAAGAGGCCATGAATTTGAAGGAGAGTGGAGAGAGGTATATGGGAGGGTTTGGAGGGAGAAAATATTGTAATTATATTATAATCTAAAAATAAAGCAGCAAAAAGAGTAAGTAATCAGCTATAGAATCAAGAAAGTTGTTACATAACACTACTATAGACTAGTATAAGCCCACCGCCAGCTCACCCAACCTTAAGCCTTCATGTGCAGACTGAGATGCAGAAATCATATTTAGAATGTAGGTTGTGATTCAAAAGGTGTGTATCTGCTGCGGATTCTGCTCTGCATGTGTCCTGTATGCATGTGTGGAGCAGGGGATGGGCCCAGGACCCCATGTGCACTGTGTTCTGTCTCTCTGAGCTCTACCTCAGCTCTTTTACTAAGATCTAACCAACTCTCAGGTTTCACTTTGAACAACAAGCTACAGGGACAATGAAAGAAATGAAGCCATTTCTGCCACAGCACACCTTCCTATTGAAGCCCCCTCCAGTGCACAGCCAACTCAGGGAGACAATGCTAGGGCTTATTCTAAACTGCACAATTCTGAAGACGGTTTATTTCAACACACAATCCCTGGATGCTGGCTCCATACCTTGTGCTAGAAAGGGAAAACATGCCACTGATTGATTGATCATAACTTCTGGTCTGGGGAGAAGAAGGATGCTGACCTCAGCAGCTGTCAGACTGGCTATCAGAATGCAACAGGAATCGTTAAGGGTAAAAGTCAAGAAGAGGTGCTTGGTGCTCACCATCCAGTGGAAATGTTACGTCTGGCTGTCCAAGAGCATACAACTCAATGGAAAAGGCTAAAAGGTTGAATTTGAACAAATGTATTAGTGTCTGCTAGAAAACTATTTACAAGGTTCTGTGTAGATAGAGTTCAGGCTGAGAAGCTGGGTCTTCAGGGTTTAGCTGGACTTGCTAGTACACCCACCAGACCAGTGGTGCAAGGGACTCAGTTAGGAGCACAGGCCAGAGCCTACTCTGTAGAAGGAGGAAGACTGGACCAGAAACATCCCAGAAGCACACTGTGGTTGCCTGGAAGACATGAAGCCTAGAGGTGGTCCTCAAACATGTTACCCTTGCTGTGTTACAGTCACCCCTACAGAATCTCTCTTTAAGCAGTTTAATTCAAGATTTTAGCTCTCAAATAGTAATAACATCTCCAGAGACAGGCATGTCAAAACTGCATAAGCAGAGGCGATGGTGCATTGTGACCCCTCTCTAAACTGTCCATGGTTTCACATTAATAATTCTTATTATCTCTCAGTGCTTTTTGCTGTAGCTTGACCTCGCTATTTGAATCTGATCTCAGAATTTTCAATTAGCCACAAAGGTCCTCTCTACCGCTCCTCCTTTCATCAGAGTGCAATTTTAGATGACTCTATTTACCACTGCATATAATAAAACGTCTATAATTAGAAAATACTTAAATGTTATAGAAAATGTTAGTGCCAGAGGAGCCCGAGATGAAGCTTGTGTGTGTGGATCCATGTTCGTGTGTATATCTCCATACGTGTTTGGATGTGTGTGAAGGCCAGAGCTTGCCATCACACGTCTTCCTCGGTCATTTCTCTACCTTAGTTTTTTGAGACAGGGCCTCTCACTGAACCCGAAGCTTGCTGATTCAGGGAGACAGGCTGGTCAGTGAGCTCCAGGGATCCTCCTGTCTCTGCCCCTGCGGCAGAGACCACCACACTTGGCATTTTCTTTTATGTGGGTTCTTGGGATGAAACTAGGGCCTCATGCTTGCACGGCAAGCACTTTGCTAATAGTGCCGTCTCCTCAGCCCACACGAGATGATATTATACAGAAAATGGCTATTAACACGCAATCTGAGGAAATGCACTCATTACATTCCCTAGAACTTTAAGCTCTGGTCTCCTTCGTACTTCCTTCCTCTCCCTCCTTCCTCTTTCTCTTTCTTTGTACGTTGTGCAAGCTTAGGTGATAAAATTATCTAAGAGGGACCAATTTGGGGTTGGTGTTTATTTGTAAGTGCAGTCGGTGTTCATCCTACTAGGTACACAAGAATGCATGATGTATGCCTTAGCGTGGAACTGTGCCCACATACAGTCTAGCGGCATGGGCTTCCTGTCATTATTTTCTTTGTCTGTGCAGGGTATGGTTTTAAACTGTCTTCCCTTGGTATGTTTCCTTCTTGAATGAATGGTTGTGTACTCATTATAGTCAATTCCCACTACAGACGCACAATTCTATTTCTCTGTAGACCATTGGGATGCTAATGTGATTGAGTTTCTTAGAGCTTCAGGATGTCTGTTGGCAGGCAGAGGCTTCTGTAGGGCTGCAGTAGATCCAGTTCCTGCAGCTTCCTCCATTTGGAAGCCAAGACTTCATAGAGAAGCAGGTAATCGATTTCTGGCTTCATTTGCATGGCACATTAATGGAGCCTCTTTAAAATTCACAGAACAGGATGGACTGTATTTGTCTGACTCTGTAACTACTATGCATGGCAGATTCCTAGTAAACTCTGACGCAATGTGGGTCTGTGTGATGAGCTTTGCATAATTTTTTACTTTCTCTGTTTCCTGCTCCTCTAGGGAAATGGGTTCTATGGGGCTCGTGTGACTAGTGAGCACAGCCTGCTAGCCTGACGCCCAGCAGGGAGGGAGTCTACCATGGATGGCATCGTCGAGCAGAAGAGTGTTCTGGTACACAGTAAGATCAGTGATGCTGGCAAAAGGAACGGCTTAATTAACACCAGAAACTTCATGGCTGAGAGCAGGGATGGCCTGGTGTCTGTTTACCCCGCACCTCAGTACCAGAGCCACAGGCTGGTGGCCAGTGCAGCACCAGGCAGCCTGGAAGGAGGCAGGAGTGAGCCGGTGCAGCAGCTGCTGGACCCAAACACACTGCAACAGTCCGTGGAGTCCCACTATCGTCCCAACATCATCCTCTACTCAGATGGTGTGCTCCGCTCCTGGGGGGATGGCGTGGCCACTGACTGCTGTGAGACCACCTTCATTGAGGACCGGTCACCCACCAAAGACAGCCTGGAGTACCCCGATGGGAAATTCATCGACCTCTCAGCTGATGACATCAAAATCCACACCCTGTCCTATGATGTGGAGGAGGAAGAGGAGTTACAGGAGCTGGAGGTCAGAGGATGTGCTTGTTGGAGTCCTTCTGGGATTGGGGTCATGGGGTCTGGGGGATACTTGGGAGCGCTTAGCAAAGGCCATTGTGTTTTGCCATGGAAAAATACAGACGGTGTTCTTGGTATCATTTTATTCCTGAGCATTTGCAAAGGATGGAAGGAATGGAAAAAGACTGGGCACTGTGGCAGTGATTCTGGCCAAAGGTGACCCTTGGTAATAGCCCTGTAGGCAGGGCAACAGACACCAGCACTGGATGGCAGGGTAGTTGAGGATACTGCCACTGAATAACCTAAGAGAGAGAGAGAGGGACACATGAGTTAGAGACACATGGTGTGGGAACAAGTAGAGAAGTGTTTTGCTGTCATAGTGGGTCCCTTGGTTTGACACCTGAAGTTTCTTCTAGTAGATCATTGCTAGCTCAGAACTCTCCAGAAGAAACAAAAGAAATTTAAAAGGGGAGAAAAAGTAATTAAACCTAGGACCTCTCAAATCCTAGGAAAGCGTTGGTCCATTGAACTACACCTTACCTTTTTAGTAGTTAAGGCAAGTGAGGGCATTTGAATTACACACACAAAGACGTGCAAGCAGGTCTCTGAGATAGGACACAGCGATTGCCAGCCATGTGATGTGAGAGTCACTGAGAGGCCGCTACCATGCAGGTAGAGTAGTGAACAGAGGGTGTTCTGCTGGGACTTGAGTACAGTGGTCAGGAATGGAGCCCGTGAGGGCCAACAGGCCTATGAATAGCCACCTCCATAAGCAGAGACCATCTTATGACAGACACTAATAGGAAGAGAGGGCATGAGGCCAGCCAGAGCCTGAGGGAAGCTAGATGTTGGGTGCTGTTACTTCTGGGCTAATGCCTGTTGCTAGTGTCTGCTGTTTTCCAAAGTTTCAGGGTTTGGCGAAGGGGAAGTGTCTAAATCTGCCTGTCCTGCATGAATCAGGGAAGCAAGCACCACAGGTACGTGTGAATCTGACACAGAAATTCTGACGAAGGACTATCTTGTCAGCTCTGAAAACAGTCCCCAGAGAAGATGTGGAACTGACATTGTGGTTTGAATGTGAAGCTGTCGGAGATCATTACAGAAGAAGTAGAACCCCTATCCTGTATCTGGGGAACAGATATGTAGAGGCTTGAGGGGTTATTGTGAGAGAATCTCAGCCCTAGGAGATACGGTAAGCACAGAAACAGCTGGCCCTGAATCAAACTGAATAGAAATACTGAGGACTTTGGGGCACGGTAAATATAGAGCTCAGAAAGCAGGGTCCTACCACCCAGAACCTTAACCATCTGATGGAGACTGGATTCAGGAAAGTTACACACTAAGCCATAGAACAGAAGGGCAGGTTGACAAGCCGGAGCTTTCAGGGACAGGGAGCAGGGCGGGGGAGTCCAAGCCCATCCCTACCTTTCATGTCCCTTGGCTACTCTGCTGTGCAACATTTTGTGGGCCAACCTGCTAGATTCCAATTTAAAAAGTATGGAACCTTCTAGTATCTAATCCGCAAAACAGCACAGAGGAAGTGGAATGCTACATAGAGGAACTGAGGCCTGTAGGCTGCAGGCTTTGATTTCTGCCTTTAGCTATAGCAGAGGATCAAAGAAGATTTCAGACAGGAAGGCCGCGGCAAATGTGCTGGACGGTTCTGTGTCAACTTGACACAAGCTAAAATCATCTGAGAGGAGAGAACCTCAATTAAGAAAATGCCTCCATAAGATCAGGCTATAGGCAAACCTGTAAGGCAATTTCTTAATTAGTGATCTGTGGGGGAGGGCCCAGCCCATTGTGAGTAGTGCTAGCCTTGGGTTTGTGTTCCTGGATTCTATAAGAAAGCAGGCTAAGTAAACCATGAGGAACAAGCCAGTAAGCCACACCTCTCTATGGCCTCTGCATCAGCTCCTTCTTTCATGTTCTATATTGTTGACTGAGGGTTTTCTGTCTGCCCGGTTCCCGCAGTCGTTAAGTCCCAAAGAAATCACACAGAGGTCTACATTAATCATAAATGGATTGGCCCATTAACTGAGGCTTCTTATTAACTCTTATAACTTACATTAGCCCATTATTCTTGCCTATGTTAGCCAGGTGGCTTGGTACCTTTTTTGGCGAGGCAGTCACATCTTGCTTGTTCTGTGGCTGGATCAGGACGACAGACTAGGACTTCCTTCTTCCCAAAATTACCTGTTCTCCTTGACCCGCCTCTACTTCCTGTCTGGTTGTCCTGCCTATACTTTCTGCTGGCTACTGGCCAATCAGCGTTTATTTAAAATATAATTGACAAAATACAGACCATTGTCCCACACCACTATACCTGCCTGAGTTCTTGCTCTCACTACTTAAAAAAAAAAGGTTTTTATTGATTCTTTGTAGATTTCATATTACGTATCCTGATCTCATTCATCTCCATTCCCTTGCCTCTACCCTCTGTTCTTCTGCCCCCCCCAACCAAAACAAAAATATCAGTGTCAAAGCTGTAGTGTGGCCTAGTAAGCCACACACCTCTTAGTCCATACACCGTTACTTGTAAGTGTTCTTTGCAATGGAACGTTGGTTTGGCTTAAGGCTTCTGGCTTCTGCTACTCTGTTGATACTAGGTCCTCACTGGGACTCCTCCTGTGTAGTAATAAGAGTGGCGGGGCTGCGTCCCTGGCACCCCAGCCGCCTGCCCGGCTAGCTTATGCTCCGAAATAACAACACACAAACTGTATTCATTTAAACACTGCTTGGCCCTTTAGCTTTAGCCCTTACTGGCTAATTCTGATATACCGATCAACCCATCTCTAATAATCTGTGAGCACCGGTCTTACCGGGAAGATTCTAGGTTGGAGCTTCATCACGTGTGTCTGCCTGGGAGCGGGGCATGGCGTCTCTCTGAGGCGTCTGCTCCCGAGAGGAGAGCTGTGGAGTCTGAGCTCACTTCCTCTTCCTCCCAGCGTTCTGTTCTGTTTACTCCTCCCACCTATCTTCTAACCAATAAAATGGGCCAAGGCAGTTCCTTTATTAGCCAATGACCTTCTTCCATCACTCCTGGATATCCTATTGTTGTCCTGTGTCATGTAGACCCTGAAACTTTGGATCTGCAGATCCGACCCCTTCACATACTCCAGCCTATCACAGATAAGGTGGATGTTAGGGCAGGATAACTCATAGTCCTGGTTCTAAGCCTGGGTGGTAGCTGGGTTGGTCAGTCCACCAGCTTTCCCTTATGGTCACCTCCCTCATAGTCACCCCTAGGGTGCGCTCTCCAGCACTGACTGAGCTAGCTCACCCACTGTAGCAGGCAGCAAGGAGCAGGGCCAGTTCTCCTGCTCTCTCTCCTGCACGCACACCACCAGAGCCGGCTCCGCTGTCTTGCCCAGGCCAGCTGTAAGGCCTGTTCTCCAGACTGCTGCAGTTGGTAAGGAACAAAGACAGTTCTTTTGTTCTTGTGTCCCAGAAGCCAGCTCTCCTGCCTGCTGCAGTTGGCAAGGTCTGGGAGGAGGGTATATTTTCCTTCACCCATGCTACCACATACAAGGGAGGAAGTAGGTACCACTCTCCCGTTTTTTGTCCACAACACCAGTTCGCTTGTACCCCCACCAGCAGGGTCTAGTGGGCTCCCCAGGTGAGGTGCAGGGCCTGCTCTCTCATGTGCTGTAGTCGGTGAGGGGCGGGACCAGATCTCCAGCTCTAGTGACCCTTTGACCAACTCTCTCTGTCACAGGTGGCAAGGAATGGGGGGCGTCTATCCCTCACTCATGTCACCACATGGGTGACAAAGAGTGTAGGATCAGCTCTCCCACTCTCATACCCTCTGGGCAGGCTCATCTGCACTCCCACCGAGAGGGTCAGCTCTGCTGTGCTGCCCTGGTGAGGTGCAAATTCTCCTACTCTCTCATGACTCCAGGGCCAGCTCTCCCACTCACTGCAGGCTTGGGGGGAACTCTTCACTCCCTCACCCACTACCATATGGCAGATGAGAACTGGGGTCAGGTATCCCACACACTTTTGCAGGGGTGCATCACCTGCGCCCCCTCCCCCATCAACAGGGTCAACCCTTCTGTGCTGCCAGGGCAGGGTGCAGAACCTGCTCTTATGAGTCCTGCAGCCAGTGAAGGTCAGCTCTCCTATTCTTGTGATCCCAGAACCAGCTTTTCCCACCTGCCACTGGCGGTGAGGGACAAGGGGCAAGGTGAGTATCTCTCCCTTGCCCACACCACCACATGACAAACAATGGGTCTAGCTTTCCTACTCTCCTGCCTTGAGGGCCAGCTCATCTGCACCCACGCCATCAGGGACAACTCTGCAGTGCTGCCCAGGTGAGATGCAGGAGCTCCTCTCCCGAGGGCTGCACTTAGGGAGGGACGGGGTCAATTCTCCTTAGTGCTGCAGCTCCATTCACTACTTTTGATATTGAGCAGTTACGTGGAACTAAGTAAAACAAACCTTTTCCTCCCCAAGTTCTTTTGGCCATGATGTTTCAGTACAGCAATATTAATCCTAACTCAGACAGACAGCATGCATTTTGGGAAGCTGCTCTAGCTACAGAGTAGACAGAGGATGAGAGAGAGAGATGTAGGGGAACAGAAGAAGGAGACATAGCAAACTGGAGGCACAGAGCCCTGTTATCATACAGAATGGAGAGGAAATCAGGACAGCATTAGCAATGAGAAGTGATTGGTGGTAAAGAGAGGGGCCCACAAAGCATGTGCAGCTCTGGAAGGGGGTTGGAAAGTCAGCTCCAAGGTACACTATGTCCTTGTAATTGCAGCGTGGGATACTGGCTAGATTGAAAGCAGGCGGATCTCTGTGAGTTCGAGACCAGCCTGGTCTACAAGAGCTAGTTCCAGGACAGGCTCCAAAGCCACAGAGAAACCCTGTCTCGAAAAACCAAAAAAAAAAAAAAAAAAGAAATTTATGAATGTCTCCATTATCCTTTTTCCTCTTATGTGTGTATTATTTCCTTTTCCCTCTTGACACACTCATATACATTCCCTGAATAATCGACTCTGTCAAGACCATTGGGAGCTGAAGAGGTGCTTGTGTATCTTCTTAGGCCTCAGCCAACATCTCTTCCGAGACTTCAGAAAGGCCTAAGAATTTTCTTCCTTTTTAACACTTCTGTGGGTATCTGACTGAGCTTGCAACTAAACGACCAATATTCAAATGTGGTTGGTATTGATTAGAGTTATGTCTGGATCAACATTTTTGGCAATCCATTACCAGCTGGGCTCCGTTTAGTGCAAGTTTTTTTTTTTTTTCACACAGTGACCTCAGTTTATTGGTTTTTGTTTTGTTTTGTTTATGGAACCCTGTGGAGGTCTGACATCCAGAAGTGATCTCTTGATTTAAAAATTAGGAGGTGGTGGTAAGGGGGACAGAGTTGCCTACCCTGATAAGTACAGGACTTTGATGGGTAGCACAAGGGCCTGAGGAAATGAGCTGTACCACCCAAATGCCTTCCTCTGCCCATGCAAAGGCACTGGTAACCAAGAGAAAAAAAATTCTTTAAGAATCGGGTAACTGGAATATTGAGTTATGGTGTTACTCAGCGTTTGTATTTTAGAGTGGCCTTTCACTATTTGGCACAGTACATTGGTATTTCTACTTTGGTCAGATGAAAGGCCTTTAAATAATATTAATGGAACAGCACAGTGTTCAGAATAAATGTCCACTCGGGCATTTAGATAGACTTTCTGGTTAATCTCTGGGAGCTCACTCAGACTAAGACAGTCCCATCCCTCACAGACTCTGAGGACCAATCAGGACCTAGCATAGCCACTCTCGCCTCCTCAAATCTAAGACCTAACCCCAGTGGTGGATTTTAAGGAGATACCCAGAGTGACTACTGGGTCTTTCAAGAAACTTAGAAGAACAAAGAAATGCTCTCAAAAATATTCTTAGGGAATAACAGCTATCTATTGTTGGTGCTTTTTTTTTTGTGTGGGGGCGGGGGGAGAAGTAAGAAAAAAAAGAAAAAATT